TCACTTTTCTATATTCAATTGGTATGAGAGATTTCTTTGTTTGAGAATTACCAATTTGAAAGTTTACTTTAAGCTGCATAATTTTTCATTAAAAATATCAAAGATGGTCATTAATTAATTTATTTACACTGAATCAAAATAATTTTATGCACTAGACCTCAAGAATTTAGACAAATTTACTTTTACCATTTCATATACCATTATGTGTACAAAAATTGGCACGTTTAGCACAATCAATGGGTATTGAGTTGTTGGCATATTCATGAATTAGCACTTTGCATGTCTGCATTGTACATATTGTATTTATAAATGATTTCTAAGCATTAACGTACATGTATTCATGAATTAGCACACCCAATGTCTATGCCAAAACCGCTTAAATATGAAGGCCTCTTTTTTTAGTACATGTATTATAAACAGTCATGCAATTTCATATAGTACATATGCATTTATAGATAAAGTCCACTTTGAAGTAAATTAAGATATGCACTCAATAAGTTTACCACTGAGAGAAATAAAGCTTAACATGTATGCACTTATTCCAGAAGAAGACCAGAGAATATTCAACACAGAGTATGTCAGAAATGTGGCCGTAAGACAATAGAATCTCTTACTCTGATACAATCTCCAACCTCTTGAGGACCAGATAATCACAGCTGGTTTCCGGCTCTTCTTCATCACACGACACTTTATACCGACCTTCGCGGCCCAGAATGTCTCCAAGAAATCAGCGGAATACAAGCAGAAATTCAATCATGTCCTCCATTATAATGTTCTCACTGATCATTACAGACATTAGCCGAACAAAAACATAACACAGTTCCTTTGATCATTCACGACGTAAAATATGTTAATGAAAACTTTTTTCATATCTATAAGATAAAACTTTTAAAGTTTGCTTTATCAATCTTAATATAACACACACCGCGGCATATATATGACACTTCCAAAATCATCAAGTTCAGTTGGTAAAAAAAATGAGCGAGACCTGCTCCACTCAAAAAGCCATAACAATCAAACCTTCAGACATGGGGCTACACAAACAAATTAACATGGACTTGGTACGACATTTCTCACCTTATGTAACACCGACACCAACACAAATGTCTTTTTCCTGTCTCCCGTGAAGTGTGGTGCCTTCAGGCCAAAGAACAAAATACATTTCCAAGTGATTGTGTCGGCTCGAACATTTGTAATACACATTTTATCAACTTTAACCACCATGTCCATTCCATTTACCTATACTTGGTCAATTTCGAGAGCATTAACACCATTAGGAAGATACACGCTTGTGCTTTATAAGGTCATTAAATAAAATGGAAATTTCATGTCTTAATTGACCACACTTTCCATCGTTCAAAGACACTAGGTAACTTATGTGTAGCTTCATACATCTTGTGCCGTTCATAACCTCAAAGGTTTCCATGTTCAGAACTTACTTAGTTAAGATATTGAAGCAAAAATTTTAGTTGAGAAGGATTCTATTGAATATACATCAGTAAGAAAAGAATTTGACCTCTAATACATATTTGCATTGTCAGTTACCGGTATGTGATGCATAAGATTGTATCACATTCAACATACACAGTACGTCAGAAAACTCACAGATAATAAAACTCACCTGAGCAAGTACCTGCTAAAATTTCTCCATTAAAAATTTATACTGCAAAACTTTGATTTACAGCTATCTTTATTGGGTGTGAACCTCGTGAATTCCTCAACACAGTGAAAACTTAAGCCGCACAATTGTGAAATTCATCTGCATAAATGACAACTATCCTTCAACACGTGAGATGTATTTTATGCAAAATACACAGGAATGTAGACGGCCACCGAGAACAAATACATAACTTCCTCCTTAAGCCAATAGTCTTCTTAACTCTGTTGTTTTTTACTGTTGAAATCTTCTCCTAGGGTATTGCTTTGTTTTTGTTTTCAACAATAGGTGTGACAGCGGAGAGAGATAAGACCTGATCGGACTAAGGCGATTAGTCAGGACTTTTAAATGACTGTCCAGCAATAAAGCTGGAACCGACCAGGGCCATAAAATATAAAGTAAACAAAACTGACAAATGTCACTCCAGATTCTGTTATATGATCCCCAATACCTGGGCTAAGTATGTTAGCTCAGACCAAACTCCCCAGATCCATTTGAGTTCATTGGCTTATTATGACCAAGAGATCTAAAATTTATCTGTCCAGCCCAAAAGCAATTAATCAGCTTTGAACATCTCTTTTTTTACCTGTTCAATGTAATGTGTCTGAAATCTGTCAATTTCACCTCAGGTGCCTAGTGTCCTGTAGATTACTCATGAGAAATGTACCTAACATGAGTATTTCATTAGAAACATCTAGCTTTTGCAGAGCAATAAATCTCACTATAATTTTTCATATTACATGACTGTATTGCCATTATTAATCTGTTATGCATTTTTTTTCTCTCACACAATGCTTAAATGTGAAACTTAAATGTGTAATCTTCATAGATATGCAAGAAGTTTAAATTAATGCAGCATTGGTCAATCAAATTTATTTATACTGTAGCTGCTACACCTGATGGAGACAGCCTGGTGGAGAAAACAGGCTGCAACTGAAACCTGATATTTAATATAAAATAACAAATCACAATTATGATAAGACAAACAAATCTTGTTGTTTCTTTTATGTACATGTTTACTTTTTCTTTAAATCAAGTAAAATTATCACCCTCTCCTGAACAATTTTACTATGGACCATTCGCAGCATTAAGATGTTTTTGACACACCTGTGTAAATTGGGTCAGGGCCTTAAAGTGAAATAAACCATCATTTCATTTCTTTATCATACAGGTAAATCGGAGTTAGACTTCTTCCCACACAGTATGGTTGATCAGTAGGGTGGTTTTAAGACTGGCTGGCTGAACGTTTTACAGGTAAATACACAGAGATTTATGTCACCTGGGCTCATATTACATAACAACTGATATAGAGCTCATGTTTACCAACAAATCAGGACACTCTCCTATGTTTACATGATGGAGATACATGAAATGAAAAAGGACAGGAATTTTGAGGGATTTTTTCTTTTAATGTCATTTAATTTTTCTTAGGACCCAATAAATAATGTGTAGAGAAATAATCTTGCTATCAACATGATCAATGCAAGCAAAGGTTACTCAAGGAACATATCACTTGAAAATCTGGGCTATGTGGCTGGGGTTTTGATTTTCTTGAATTCTTGACCTGAACCTGTTTAGCAAGCCAGGGCATTTTAAATAGATCGAAATCAGTTGGTTCTTTTACAACAAAAGGAGGGACCTAGCTTGACTGATGGAAATGATTTTATCAAATTACTTCTCCATCAGATTCATTGGCTGGAAAATCATGATTTTATCCTGATAAAAGTAACAGATAGGAACAGGTTTTGAGAACCCTGATTTAGGGGAAGGAACTTAATATATTATTATACAATTCAAAATCTTCAAACCATATACTACATGAGCATTGTATAACCCTCTAAAAAACTTAACATACTATGTTTCACAAAGAAAATATACATATAGTTCAAACTGTACATGTTTAAATTAATCATGAATAAAGTGAATAAGCCATGGCAACTGATCAAAAGTAAACTGATGAAGCCATTGAACAGAAAATGCAAATAAGGTAATATTTCCATTTGAAGAAGTGTGTGCACTGATATATATCATACAGACGAAACTGATTTTCAAGTTGGAGCTTTGGTAATAAAGTTTAATAATAAATATAACATCAAACCACATTAACATAGTGTTAACTGATTAGTTGAAAGACTTGATTGTTAAGTATTTGGGAAATGCATCTTGAAATATGCTGCATGGGCTTGTGTTGGTGCGGCGGTGAGGATGACAAATACCTATTTTCTGAACAGAGTATATCAAATGTTTATAATTTTCAAAAATGCAATGAATAGAACATCCGTAACTTTACCCAATGTCGATAATAATCACAAAACAAACTAAAAACGCGTAGATTTTATCTAACTTGACAGGTGTTTTGGGTCTAATTAATCTGAGGCTGGTACGAGTTGCACCCCTTTGTAAACAATGTTGTTACTCACCTGAGACTCGTCTGTGGCCTGTTTGCACGGGATTTCTTTTTAATGGATGAAGCCAAGATGTTGTCCGTGATTTCTCACTTTAAAAAAGAAATGAAAAACAAAATCAAAGAACTTAAAATAATATTTTTAAGGAATACCTGTCCTCCCAGTTCAGGTGTAAATAGTTTCTCTTCCAGTTTTTGATGTCTTTCTTTCAGTATACAAACACACATATTTTATGCAAGGAAAATGAACATTCGTTGATCATTATAAATTACTCACTCGATAAAAAAGATTCGTCCGTCTCTTGTTACTCCGAAATTTACATGGGGATGCCTCTCCCGCAAAACATCAACCGCCATGTTTGAAAACTTTTTGGGATTTACCTTTGCCTCTTCCGGTATACCACTACGTCACAAGGTATCTAGAGGCTCGCCATGGGGTCTTGACTAATGTACAGGTGAGGTGGCATTTTGAACATTGTTGAAATGGACAGCCCAGAAATTCTCAATTGAAAAAAAAAAGAGTTGACAAACGAAAGAAAAGGGGAAAAAATATTAAAAGTCGGAATCAATCCTAGTGAGTGTGTGCGTGCGTTTTTGTGGCGCTGGTGATGGAAAACGGGAGGGGGGGGGTTGCAACATCTCCACAACTAAGCCGTTTTCTTACTATACTACAACAAAAGGGGACAATCTTTCAATGCTTTCTAGGGTTATGTTTGAGGAAAAAAGGGCGGTCTCTCTATCAATAAAAAGAAGAAAATAACATTTATTTTAATTTTTTTTTATAACGCATTTATATCTTAAATTAAAATGATACACATGTATGGAATTATGAACTTAATTTTTTCGCTACTAACCTATTAAATTCTAAAACAGGCCCATTTTTTTTCAAATATATGTTAATTTATGACAATCACTGCTTAGGAATAAAAATAATTTCAGTGATAGTTTTAATATAGAAATTTCATTTTAAACACACAATGGGTACATCACTTTGATTTATCATTTTGATAAATGCACTCTAAATAATAACATGCGTATCTACAGTTCGTCATCCCTTTTCTTTACAAGACTGGAGTCGGGTTGAACCCATCTACAGGACTCGTCCGTGGAGCAGCAGCATTGGTCTCCATAATACATTGTGGGTACCATGTAACACTCCCCCGCCGAAGCCTTACACTCCCCGCCAACATCCGCGCAGCCGTCTGGTGAGGAATAATCCGTCACACACGTCATAGCTTGCATAGGGAGCAGCAGGACAAGAAAAACCAACGGAAGAACATCTGATAAAGTCATTGTCATCCCAGGTTATAGACCTATAAAAGGATGTAATTTTATGCTAATTGCTATTTCAAATTCAACAAAAATTACTAGTAACTGTACTGTAAATAGATCTACCAAAATGAACAAAATGTATTTATCTACTATTGAAATGAAAACTGAACGATCAATTTCAATTTAAAACTGTTTTTCAATACTGACCAGAGTTGAATATTGAAAATTAAGTTTTTGGCGCCACCAACGAATTGTGTATTTTCTGTTTTCCGAACTCGATGCAATCGATGTCATAATGCTTTTATTCGCGTTTCTAGACTAATTGAGTTTTTTTATATGAATATCCTGTATTATTTCTTACAATGTATTTTGCACTTTAAGATTTTACCTTTTAATAAATGGGCACAAAATATACAGTGTAATAATCATTAAAATTTGAACACGTAGATGGATCTGTACTTTTGCCATCGTCTGTAGATTCATCTGGATCATCTATAAGTTTCTTGCAATTAGATTTTTGAATAGTTTCCAAAACAATTTTTTGCACAGCGACCTAGGAAGTTTCAGAGCAACAGATATTTAAATTTCTGTAAGTCCCTTCGTTTTAAAGAAAAATATGGATTGAAATATATATCATTTAACGTTACTTCATATTTTTTAATGACAGTAATGAGTATTTACGCCTGTATTGTTTGTAGCCCAAAATATGGGTGTTGCTCTGCTATGAAATAACTCCAAACTTGCGTATTATGATGCAAGATGTATGACATGGGCCTATTAAACGACAGCGTAAAGAAGCAAATCACAATTAGGCCTAATGTAGAATTTTTGATTATAGATTGACTCTATGGTTGAAATGTGGAAAGGGAAATATAGTGTAACTCAATAAAACTGAATTCAGTCACGTAAGAGACGTTTTACAATCCCGTTCATTCCACACTCGACACTGACCGGCCTTTAGATCGTTTTAATTCGACTCGTCTGACAAAACTGTGACAAAACCCTCCAAAATATATTTGATATAACTTTTGAATGAAAGAGAGTGTTTAAAAATGCCATATTTTGATTTGTGAATTACCTGTGGCAAGACGTAATGCGTTTTTGACCACGTGTCCTTAAAGTCTGACCTATTTATATGTTGTTAAAAAAACTTGGTTTGGTAATAATTTTTTCTCCAGAAGAGATGGGGCTCATATTTTTTTATTTTTTCAAATTTGTGCATTACTTATGACAAGACCTTTCGGGTGTATTCTGATATTTGATCTCATGACCATCTTAAATTTGATGCAGTTTATGAAACTTAAATTCTTGTAATACTAAATTAACTTTTATTCATTAAAAATTTACATCTGTTGTGCATGATGGAAAAACCAGACAGAACTCAAAGACAAGATACCTAAGTTTGCCAGAAACAGTACCTATATACTTTGTCACCGAAACGGGGAACACCAATGCTCTTAATTTGTTTGTTTATTAAAATCCTTTGTTATTTGAACGAATTCCAATTATTCGAACATAAAAAAGAACATTATTTTGTGAATTTAATTAAAAGTAGAAAATATGAAAATCTTGATCAGACATATTTTCCTCAGGTGAACTGAACTGAATTCCAGACGCCGAATCTGACTTCAAGAACGAATCAATGAAAAAGAAAATTTTCCTCCTTTTATTGTTAATTAATTACGCAAGGAGAGATTGATATTTACCCTGATTTATTAATGTGGCATAAACCACTTCCCTAGTAGAATTGCTGTTCGAAACATTCACGCAGTAACACTCGTGCTTGTGTTGAGCATAATCTTAGCATTCCTCATTGAATGATTTCACTACTTTACCTTTCTTATTTAAGTACAGTGAAACTCGGTTATAACAAGCCCGTTTTAAGGATCCTCTATACACCACTGCAATATGGTTTTTTTTTGGGGGTGGGAGGGGAGCATTGAGAAAATCACATTGTACATAGGTGTAAATTTTGAGCTTATCTATGTAATTTTCAATATATTGTACGTGGCACTTACTCCAGGAAAAAAAAGTTCGAAAACAATAAAATATCAATGAACAGAAATCACTGTTATTAACTCCAGTGCATAAAATAAATGCAGATAAAGTGATCACTTACTTTATCTTGGCCTTTCAAATTGTTTAGAATTCTTGAATTGATTATAAATTGAGAAGTAGACAAAAGACTTCAATTTATTTGTAATAGGATCTAAGGGCAGATCAAACTAACTACAGAAGAATTAAATATTACAGAATCAGAACACTTTTGTGTGTATTCTAGAGAGGGTCCTTAAAATAGCAAAATACCAATCACAATTTTTCGGGATATAAAGAATCTCGATGACAGGGAAATCTGTAAAATTCGAAATCCCAATAACTTCCATCTTTAACCGAGTTTTACCATACATGCATGTGTTTGTATATTTTTTTTAATTTAATCAGATAAATCAATTTAATTTCCCCCCTTGCAAGCTTGCCTTTCTTTCGTTTGAGACATTCTCTCGATCAGTGTAGAAATGTTTATATAAGTATAAGATTTTAATGAAATGCAATTTTTTGAATATCTTCAAAAGAAAAATGAGTTTGAAGCATTTACAGTTAAGTTTTAATGAAAATTCTACATTGTATATGAAAATTCTTGTTAATTATTAACATCTCTGTGATTGCCATCAGCTATTATAAAGTTCTAATATGAATTTAAGTCGGAGAAACACCATTACTCTCATGAAATTTTCAAGAGAATTGCTATTCCTTTTGTGTATTCTTCTCTTAAATCGTGATGCGACATTTGTGAACCAAGAGATTACATTAATCATTAATCAATGAAAGTTACTTTTATTAGGTTTTGATTTGTCTCAGTGTAATTACTGTGCTGCTTATTCCCAAGTCAACACATTGCCATTAAACTGCACATGAACTGTTGGTTTAACGAGGAACTCTTGAGACTTAAGTGGTACTAGAGAGACCATCAAACAAATCAATCTCAGTTTGCAGGATAATGTAGCTTCCTTTTTACCATGGAAACCGAATAAGCAATTTTCTACTCACGAATCAATAAAGACTATAGTGGTCCGCGAGGACGAAATGATACATACCGTGCATAACCTGGGATTATGTTACTGACAATATATTATTTATAGGTTGACAGAATGATGACAGGGAGGGAATTAGGAGCCAAGGTCTCCAGCCTCTTCGATGTGGCAGCCCAGCACCGACCCCTGAAGAACGCGGGTTCCAGCGTCATCTCGTTTGTCTGCGACCCCCGTCATGATGACGACATGCACAAGGCCAAAAAGGTACGTGTTCAGGTGTGATCGGAACGTTGAAAATACGACTGCATGATTCCGAACTTTGCTTGGAATTTGTTGCATGTAAAATGAGCGTAACATCGTTCTGTTTTCGACAGGATACATGTATGTTAGATGTCTATATTAGATATGCTAGTGTTAAATTAATGGTATATCATTGTTGATGATATTTTTTAAAGGTTTATTATGAAAATACCTATCAGCTAGATCCTCCCGCGAAGTTCAGAGCAGACAAAGTCAAACCCATCATAGAGAAGGTCCTGGAAACTCATCTTGAAGGTATGGGAAATTAGATCCCTTTCATAATCGTTACTCTTTGTGTTTATAGAACAATATTTAATTTTCAGATTTTGAATAACGTGTTAATATTTATACCAATACTAAGACATTGTGTTCCACTGTTCCTAACAGATTTACTTACTACTTTGATGACATAACTGCTTGTACATGTGTACAAGTAATATACATTACAAAGTGCGTTGGATTGGATTGTCTTGTCATCCTAAATGGTAGTATTAATATTAGCAAAATTTTAAGATTTGGGCCTAATTGAGGAAATGTGTTACATAAAAGTTTTGCAATTAAATAAATTTAAAACTAGATTGTTATAGACAGTTTTGAATTTCTTAAATTGCAAAACTTAAATGTAACAAAAGTTTATTGTGGAAGTAGTATACATGTATTAGGATATGCTAGGGACATCTTGAGATGGTAGCTTTTTTAGTCTCGTCTTCCGTCTTTTTTTTCCCCAACCAGCGAGGTATAGAACTACAGCTTAATATATAAAAGGACATGTCAATGGATCAAAATTCCTACGTTATTGTTTCAAGTCAGTTAATTTTTGTAAATGAAAACCAATTTTCTTCTGCATGTCAGAGATGGGTTTAGTTTTTGTGTTCGATGCTAAATTTGTACATGAAAGATGACAAACCCTTTTGTGACTGGAATTGTTTGAAGTGAACATTAATTATTACAGAGACGACAAATAAGATTCCGTGACCACTGTGTTTACCGGAAGTAGAGCAGCGCTATCTCTCAAAGAGACATTTCATCAGTCTCCCATTGGTCCATATATCGTATAGATTTTATAATGTGGCTAGCTGTTTGAAGCTTAATGCAGACATTCAATTTCTTATACCCCTTTATGCAGAGCAATTTCGTACAAAATGTCAATGCACTTGTCTTCATATTCATATAGTAAAGAAAGAGTAGGTCACTCCCCACGATGGTTAAGAGAATGATGAACAAGTTGGTTTTATTGACATAAATATGATAAATATTACAATACCCAAATATAACGTTATATTTCCTTGAGTTTGATGTTTGCTCGTGCGGCGACTTGCATTGGACGAAGAAGTACTCGAATGTACCACAACAGTTTGCTACGATCTAAATTTTCTTGTACATGTAACTAGGACATATTTCTTGTATTTCTCTCAACTCTACTTCCTCTATGCTTTTTCCCAAACCCTTTAAGATGGTGAATACTCGCTATATGTATACCGGTATGTTTAATAATTCTATATATCTATAGACTTGTTTTTTGTAGGGAAGAAATATGATCCTGTAGAGTGTTCCATTCTTTCCAAGAAACTGTCTGACGAAATCAAACAGAAAGTCAAGGAACTGGATTTCAAAAGGTTAGTTTTATCAAAAGCACGCTGTGGTAATCCATATCACTTTTTCAATAATAAAAACACGACAAAGTTCAGAACCTTTAAGATCTATGCTGATGTCTGTTGCATCGCGGAGATATGGTTGAAATTCACTTTGAATACATTACAATTTAAGATTTCCCTTTTCTTGTATGTTTTGTATAAATTCATATGTCCTGTTCATTATATATTGGATGTTCTATTAAAAAAAACGAACTGAAAACATCCCTTCCATTGTGTGGAGTTACTTATGATTGACTGATTGTATGTTGTTTAACGTCCCTCTCAAGAATTTTTCACTCATATGGAGACGCGGAGACGCCACCACTTAACGATGGAGAGTTGCAAATTTTGTCCTGTACTCGGTACTTAGGGCCATTGAGCAGGGAGGGATCTTTTTCGTGCCAGCACCTTCTACGACTGGGACCTCGGTTTATAGGTCTCATCCGAAGGACCAGTCTCCACGTCCCACAGTGGGATTCGAACTCGCGACGTAAGGATCAACTCCTTACTTCGCGACCTTAGAGCTCGTGGAGTTAAAGGGGCATGACCACAGTTTAAACTGAATTTTTAAAACCAATTTTAATGCATACAATTCCTATCTAAGGCATCATCTAATGATAAGCAAAAATTTGAGCATCATTTGTTAATTAACAAACGAGATACAGAAGTTCTTTATAATGTAAACAAGACTCGTGCCTTGTTTTTGTAAACATATAGAAAATATATATTAACAAAATAAAATTCAGTAAATCAATAGAAACTGTCGAATCGTATTTGAAATTAACTTTTTTATTAAAATTATCTACTTTAAACTATTATATATTAGTATATTAATCTATGTAAACAAAAACATGGCACGGACCTTGTTTAAATAACAAAAGTTTGGAGCTCTAAACCTGTCTTTCATCTCGACAACTGATGTTCAAATTTTTGATGATCATTAGAAAGACCCTAGTTAAATATTTGTAAAAAAAATTATGGAAAAATAAATTTTGAAATTTTAGCTGAAACTGTGTCCATGCCCCTTTCATTATTAAGAGTCGTCTTTAATCGATTTCGTGATTTTCTGTCTATTTTAGATACAAACTGGTGTGTACAGTTACGATTGGACAGAAGCACAACCAGGGGGTACAGATCGGCTCACGGTATCTCTGGGACGCCGACAGAGACAACTTTGCTGCCGCTTCCTTCCACAACCGCCATATCTTCGCCGACGGCTCGGTTTACGCTCTCTATTACGAGTGATGCAATGTTTTCCGACACCTCCATTTTGTCTTTCTGACGATATTTCCACAGTTCTAGTCATTACCAGGATTCAAAAATCAAAATTACTTGAATCGTTTTATTAATATGTTTAAAACTTGTTGTACGATTTGAATGAATGTTTTCAATGAATCTGTGTAGTTATAATTTACAAACTTCACGTGATTTTTCTGTGGTTTTCATTATTTCGTATGGATGATCCAATAATTTTTTTAATGTTGATTAATTGTATGTTGATTTACGTCCCTTTCGAGAACCTTCACTCAGGTAGAGACGTCACCACATATCAGCAAAGGGCTTCAAATTTAGCCCTTTAAGAACTCAACACTCGGGGCCACTGAGCAATGAAGGTTCTTAGTCTTGCTTTCGCCTACCATAACACGGGACCTCGTTTTTTTCCACCGAGGCTGGTAACACACTCTAATAGATTTTACATAATCACTATACACCCAAAAGGGATCTCTTATTGTATAGTGAATATGTAAAATCAAATATAGTATGTTACCGGCACAGACACTTGCTTCTGTAATAAATTTTTGACCCATAGTATAATAATACTATGGGTTAAAATTTTATCCCCGAAACAGGTGCCTGTGGTTACCGGCCCCTTTGGTACAAACTATCTCAAACGAGGCAGTTGATATAATTGGATAGTTTTGTTTAAATTCAAAATTTCTCATATTCTATGGTCCTTACAATGGCTTGGCCAAAGTTGATGAAACAAGGATGACCTGTCCTTAAAATTCAATATTTCGCATTTTTTGGGGGGTCAACACAAAGACCTTACCAGGAAATACAATCTACAATCAAGTCGAATGATGACCGACGTCTTACATTCAAGTACATTTATAATAGGTCATTATTTTCTCACTGAATCGTCTACGGATTTTCCCATTTATTTCAAGGATCATACGGCGGATGTAACTGGTCGAAAGGAGATACTGACTGCTCCAAGGCACCTGATCCCACCTCTGATGTTTTTAGTGGTCTATGTTGACTCTGTTCCCAGTTTATATTATTTCTTAATCAATGGACTTTTGAGCTTGATTTACTGTTCGTTATCTCCACATTTCATCTATCGGTAAATCTACATGTATGCTAAAATTTTATGCAAAATGTGTTATGTATAATGTCCCTACATCAGGATATAAACAGGTATAGCATTATCTTCTGGTGCCAGCTCGATTAAGTCTATATGAATATTTCAATTAACTTTATGAGGTAGTAAAAATTATTGAGGAACATTCATATAGGAAATTATTGTTGTATATACAGGCATGAATGAATGGATTCAATATAAATATAATGCAAGGAATGGAGATTCAGAGTATCACATTTAGTTTGGAGCAGTACAAAGCCTTGACTAGCTCTGTAAAGTCAATATTTCATCTGCCATATTTTGAATAGCAATGTCATGGTACAGCTTATGAAATTCTTCTGAAGCATAGATTCTCTGTCGCTGAGTAAATCCTCGAAGGACCTTAAAAAGGTAAAGAATAAATATTCTTATTACTAGTATAAATGTAAGACGATCTTGCAATTTAAAATTGGTAAGTTAAACATATCATCAGTGTCATATAGGGGCGACATTCTAAGAAGCAGTTATTGGTTAACTTTATGTTTAAGCGAGACAACCTAATTAACAAATACTGTATTCAATTTAGCGTTCTTACTGCTGATCTCCCTTTTCTATAATCCTGATCTGGATAATGACTGTATTCATTACGGATCTGTCCGGCGTATGTCCTGTAACCTGAAGTAAATCACGTCAATGTACAATGAGATCCATTTAATGAAAACAATTACAGTTTTAACAGTTACAAATCTATATACAGTACATTTTCATTATTTTTATATATGAATAAGCAAAAAAAAAAAAAAAACAATAACTACAAACAAACAACCTAAGTACTACCTTCAGGGGATCTACCGAGCACCGCCATATCTATATCAAGAAAATACTGCAAGTCAGATTCTGCTTTTTCCTGAACGCTGTGAGATTTTGTGAGCAAAATCCAGTCTCGTACTTTATCCCTCTCATCTTCTTTCTAAATATGAAATTAACTTTAGAATATGTTACAGAATAAATGAACCATTTGATGTTTTAACGAGGTCTTTTCAGAAGCAATTTTATTACCCTTACCAGGTTAACACTCGATTCTTTCACAAACTGTATGAATATGTCCGCACTTCTTTCCTCGTTGTCTGATGCTTTTGGGTCATAAATGATACTATTTTGAGAAAGTACAACCTGTATATTGCTTCAAACATTGGAAATATATTAGAGCTTCCGCAGCTAGCTATTTTAAAACATGAGTTTACACGGTGTATGTGTTCTAGAACAATACACAATTGCAATGACATCGTTATACCGGTATTTTATTTTCAAATGGAATTTACAAATGAACTCGCTTTTCAAAATTCTTACATAAAAGAAGTGTTCGAATCTTACTCGTGAAAATATACAGCTAGAGATACAAGTTCTGGACGGGCCATTTTCTCGTGGTATTGGTCAAAGTGTTGAAACATTTCCTCCAGGTGGTGTAAGGTGTGGTAGTGTCTCTGACTCTCGCTGTATTTTTGTTCAATGTACCCCCACCACTTTTGACAGACTTCCTCTTTAACCCTCAAGGTGTCTCTCGCTAGTTTCAGCCATCTTTGTCGTAAAGCCATCGAGTCAAGCAGGGTCGGTGTAACTAGAGAGCCACAACTTATATGTAGCTGCAAGATAATTAGAATCTTCTTATATTTTTTCTAATATTTGAAAGGCGCCTCATTCTGCTTAGCAAAAGTGCATCAATATTCATAATTTATATATTATCTATTCAATCACTCCTTTGTGTTTTCGCCTTCTAATCTTTGCTATAACATGCGTAGGACTAGCTAACTCATAAATCGCATGACGCCGACAACCTTGATTTTTTTTATACTGCACTTCATGTCTTGCATACAAATAATGCCCAAATTTAAACAATGTTTTTTTATATCAAAGAACTAAGTGATACTAGTAATAAGCCCCTGCCACAGTATTCATTCTGTAGTCTTTTATTTGGGGGACTTCCCTGAGGCACAGTGAGACCCAAATGCGTTTTGTGTAACTTTATATCTTATCACTAGACTTTCGAGAAGACCGACGCATGTAATATGACACTTACATGCCGCCATATTTAGGAAAAACGATTTTTCAACACTTCAGGCTTTTTCGACAATTTTGTACAAAATCGACAATGTCAGAGGATATGTTTTTATTCTGGGGATCTGGGAGCGTTCCCTGCTGGAAAGCAATGCTTGCTCTCGAAGAAAAGGGCTTCAGTGGATACAAAAACAAGATGATCTCCTTCGACAAAAACGAACAGAAAGGACCAGACGTCCTCAAATTTAACCCCAGAGGAGAGGTGATAGCAATTTTAAGTTAAATTTACAAATTGTATTTTAATTAGTGAGAATGATCAATTCAACTAACCTTGATCTGTTAATGACATCTGATATTGACCTCGTTGACCACAAACTGGCACTTGAATCTGGTATGGAACACTTTTATCGTCATCGTATTTAAATATATCAAAACTTTTATGCATCGGGTCAGTTGTACATTCGGGGGTATATATATAGTTTTTATCCTGTCAGTATGTTTGTTTGTCCGCAGAAACTTTAATCTTGTCCATAAATTTTGATTGGCTAGAGATATTTGTGATTCAAGTCACAAGTGTCAACATATTCCTTATAACAAGAATTTTCTTTGGTTACCAAAACAGTTGACCTCTTGACCTTAGAGTTTGACCAACTTTTCCAAAGAATCATCAAGGTTAACCTTAGCAATTATATTTGAACAGTTGGGGCTAGGGCTTTCATACCGGCATCAATTAAATGTGTATTCCTTCTGACAAGGCCTTCTTTTGGGTACCAGCAGTTATGACCTTGGCAAAAGAGTTATACACACTTAAAAAAGTTAAACCTTTCCTATAACGTTTAAACAGCTAGTACACATGTAAAGGGTCTCATATTTCAATTGTGTTATCCTAAATATGACAGGACCTTCCTATAAGTTCCAACAATTTTGACTTTGACCTTCGAGTTTGACCTACTTTAAAAAAAAATTATAAGCTTGGACATTACGTTTGAACAGTTCGTGCCGGAGCTTTCATGTTTCACAGGTGCTTGTGTATTGAGAGAAGTCTTTCTTTGAGTGGCGATTTATTTGACCTTGACCTTGGAGTTTGACTTGCATTTTGAGAAACTTTAACTTTTGCCATAAGCTAACTTCAATCTCTACCCAGAGTTATCGTACCACTTATACTTATATATTGTAGCGAAGCGAACGATAACTCTGGGTAGAGATTGAAGCTAACTTATCAGCTTATGGGGCCATCATTGTTTCACAAGTGCAACTTCTTTAAATTGATATTTTCTGATTCTGATTTGCAATCTGACAACACTCACTACACAAAACAAACGTGAAAATTTAAACACACTACATGGAGGTAAGTACAAAATTTCCTACCCATTATTAACCTCCGTGTGCATAGTTCAGTTAAATTGAACAACATGCTACTTATCACATTTTTCTATGGTTGTAACTCTGCATAACAACGTTGGGATGACACATCTCTATAATATGGATAAATTTTAGATAAAATTCATGATTGATAATTGTATGTTGCAGGTACCAACATTTACACATGGAACAATCGTAGTGAACGAGTCCAATGCCATCTGCGAATATCTGGAGGTAAGCAAATCTGTTCATGCTTCTGCTTCCTCAATGTTTACTCCATTTTTCTGTTTTTTTAAATTGAAACATTGCAAATAGAGAATTAAATGCACACTCTTTTGCAGAGTACTTTTAAAGATTATGGAACTCAACTCATTCCATCTGATCCAAAGCAGAGGGCACTTGTTCTTCAGAGAATGCATGAGGTAATTACAAAACTAAAAAAAAAACCTTTGAGTGCTACCTTTTGTAGAAACCAGGTGTGACTGGTCGGCAGGGGATGCTCGCTACTCAGTGACAAGTCATCCCACCTCTGATGTTTTAGTGGTCCGTGTTTGCTCAGCTCCTGTTTTGTATTCTTTTATGGACTTTTGATTTTGAATATACTGTTCGTTATCTCCATGTGTTTTATACTAGACAAGAAAAAGTTCTATACATGTATATAAAATGTATCTTTGTTGTTTTCTAGGCGGTTGCTAACCTAATGCAGAAGATGTTGCTTGATTTTTTGTATGAATTTTTTGAGACTAAGGAAGAAGACATGGACCCGGTATGAATTTATGTATACATCACCATTTCTATGCATGGACTAACAATTAACAAATGAGCGAGAGTCACAGTATTGGGAAAATCTGAAATGAAAAATATATCATTTTTCACTCATATTTCAAAAACTTCCCGTCATAATTTCCATATGATGTTCCAGTTTCAGCAGCAATGTCAAGAACAGTACGTCAGCCGACAACCCCCATTGACGCTTTTAATTTGTCTAGGGGGATAAACACTTAGAACAGAGCCTCCTAAAAACGGCCACGCCTTTAATCAACGTCCATGGAAGTTCTATTTTTCTTAAATTTCGTATGCAACTGGAAAACCAGTAACTAAATGCATTTCTCCCCAGCATATGTCAATAATATACGCGTTCAAGATAGAGTGATCCCGGGATTTTCACAAAACTTAGGACATGACCGAAATTTGACTTTGTCTTACAACTTAAAGATGAACAATAAATCATCAACTAATGAACTAAATATCAGTAAAACTCTCACACAAAGCTTACAAAAATTACATAATTTTCGTTTTATATGCCACATAGGTATGGCACGCCAAATTCACAAAAATGAGCAAATCATAGTTTCACAATCGATAAACTAGGTTTATCGGTTGTAAACTATAGTTTACGGACTGTAAACTATAGTTAACAACGTTAATCTATATTTTACATCTGTAAACTATAGTTAACGCGATAATCTATGTTTCACAACCGTAAACTATACTTAACACCGAAAACAATCATTTGCGATTGCAAAACATAGATTATCTGATAAATACAGTTTCACGATTTGTAAACTATAGTTTACAAACCGTTAACTATAGTTAACGATCTGATAAATATAGTTTCACAATTTGTGAAACTATGATTAACAACTCTTAACTATAGTTTGCGTAAACTATAGTTTACAAACGTGAATTAATCAACAAAATCTATTGTTAACGCTTTATTACAGACAGATAAACTTAAATTAACATTCGTAAACTATAGTTAACAACCGTTAAATATAGTTTTACAGATGAAAACTATACTTAACGAATCGTTAACTATAGTTTTACGGTTTGTAAACTATAGTTTACAGTCGATAAACCTAGTTTATCAATTGTGAAACTATGATTATCTCATTTTTGTGAATTTGGCGTGCCATACATAGGACTGTTTTATTCTCATTTCACGTATTAAGAATTAAAATGAAACTAAACGCATAAATGTTTCCCCCGCATTTCCAACCAACCGTTTCTATGGCAACTGCCAAAGAGTCACTATAATAAATTTGTAAACTGTTTTTTAATTTAATATATTCAACAAAAATCTATATTCTTATTTGAAATTTTCAACCAATTTCACTTAAAAATAACTAAAATGTAAAGAAATTCCACGAACTTTTGGATCAACCCTCGTATATATTGTTCGTCATATTTTGAACTATGTAATATAGTCTTGAGTATTTTATTCCTGTAACTTTGCTTTGTTGTTTCTATTTTTAAATAGGAAGCATTGACCAAAAAGACAAAGACATTGAAAGAAGAGCTAGAAATATGGGATGGTTATTTAGGAAAGGTAAATTAATTGTCTCTCGACAAAATTGTGATATAGGAATTTTTTTTGTTTTTGGCTGTTGAAATTATTTTGTAATTGTGTCAGAGAGAAAGAGAGAGAGAGAGATGGCGGGAATATTCAAAATTTCAGTGATTACGCACTGACACACATTTATTTTCAAACCAAATTTATTGTAAAAATTCACAGCTGTTATTTGGAGCCAAAAAAGTTTAATCAATTGCATAATGCTAATTTTGTTGTAGACAGGCGCCTTCTTAGCCGGACCTGACTTTTCCATGGCGGACGTGTATTTCTTCCCTTTCATTGCGTTTGGTGTACGACTGGGCTTGAATCTGGATAAATTTCCAAATATAAAAGCTTACTATGAGAGCGCCTGCGCAAGACCCAGCATCAAAACAACGTGGCCCCCTCACTGGAAGGAAAGCAAACCTTCCATGACTCCTTTGGCAGGGCGCTTATAAGAAGATTTTTGACTACAATAAAGCTTGTTATGTACTTTAATTGTGCCATATTAATCAAAATCCGCCTGATTTAACGTAACAATGTGTTCATTTATTTTGTCTTATACATGTACTTTTGTTTAAAACGAAGATCAGAAAGATTGTTGCGTATAGATGGACCTTTGTTTGTTTTGTTTGTTTGTTTATTCAGGAAATATATATTGCATAAATATATTTAAGAACATAATTAAACATGACAAAGAAATCATAAGATTTCGTAAAAAATACAATTGTAATAAAACACTAACATTATATCATAAAAGACTAGTACTTAAGAAAAACATTTAATTCAGTATATCTAAATGAGACTAAGAGAATGGCGGGTAACTATATAGTTATTGTACTAAGTATAGCCAATTTCCCGAGGATAACCCACGAAAGCAATAATGTGCTTATTTCCAATGGGGTCCTCATAGATTGTAATAGTAATTAACCTACTTAGCACTAAATGTTATGATATAAATACGACATAAATAAAACATAAATAAATAAGACAATAAATATGTTTTAAGAAGCTAATAGAATAAAAACTCATTTTCAGATATACCTATGTTAAACTGTTTCTTATTAAGGTATATAATCTATATATATATTTACATTATTAAATAAGATGTGCTAAGTGCTTTGTTATGGTTATAAATGAATTTTATTTCAATCGATCTCTATCAGAATTATTTATGAATTTCGCAATCTTGCAGGATCGGAGAAATGCTCTGGAATTTAAACTGAATTTGATGTAATGCTCCTAACACCTTTCTAAATATTTTCCATGTTATTTTCAAATTAATAAGACGTCAAAGACAAGAATTTACACGATGTGCACCCCCACCTTCCTCCCGATGGATCCCCACATACATATATACATCTAAATGGATGAATCAATAAAATTTTTTAACAGAAAAGTAAGATTTCAAAATGTTCTATAACCTAACATTCTCTTCTGAATATACTGTGTCAAGTTTGCAATGCAATGAGTTAAAAGAAACAACACTATTTGTATATAAACATCTTATAGACTGGAAATATAGCAGATGCATATGGTACATTCAAACTAATATTTCATTTTTTCCCCTTGATTTATAAAATTTCTCCTCATTTCCTTTTTGTGGTTTATATTTTAACTTATGTAATGTACCTGAATTCCTACTTTTACTCATTTCATGAAGTTCAGAAATTAGAACATGACAATAGAAATGCTAGGTTCACGTATCTTCGTTTACTCTTCTTACTATTAATTTGGGTAGATCGAAAAAATAAATGAACTGAATAATTGTGAAATAGAATCTAACAGTATCGTTTTAAACTTGTTTGCCTCTATATTTCATTCACAGATACTTCATAGTAAAGTCGGGGGAGTAAGTGGAGTATTTTGAAATATTCAATAATATTGACGTTTTTTGGTAGGCAGCTTTGCTCTACAATTTAAACTCTGACCTCAAGGTTAACACATTAAACCTCTATATAAACACGGCAAAACTTTGGTTTCTCTACACGGACAAACCAGAAACAGCACTCTACAATCCATACGCTTTGTAAAAAGATGGCCACGAACATGTTTCTGTATTGGGGGTCGGGGAGCATCCCCTGCTGGAAGGCTATGATCGTTCTGGAGGAGAAGGGATTCGGGGGATACAAGAACAAGCTGATTGAATTCAGTAAACAGGAACACAAGGGACCAGATGTTCTAAAACTAAACCCCCGGGGTCAGGTGAGATTTAGACAAACTGAATAAGGTGTAGAAGTTTTTTCTTCTTTTAGAAGGATACATAAAACAACGAAAGTTGCGAAAATAGTTTGCTTTGCATTATATACGTATATAACGTATGACTATGTTTAACTTTTAAGCTATCTTTAAACTATCTTTGTTAAACTAAAAAAGCTTTAGAATAACTTTTTCTGTATGAAATGAATTGGTTAAGAGACAGTTTTTTTTTTCTTTTCAGATGCCCGTATTCAAAGATGGCGACATAGTGGTAAATGAATCAAGTGCCATATGTGAATACTTAGAGGTAAGGTTTATGGGACACTTCTCTTCTTTCATACATGTACGAGTTTTTCACATTTGAGAAACTGCACAAGAACAGTAAACTCAAACACTCAAAAAATGCTTCAGGACATTTTTAAAATTTTATTTCAAAATTACATTAGAAATTTGGGATAAATATCCAAGATATTCCCGGTTAATCCTCACCTATGGTGCCAGTGGCCCGATGGATTGGATAACTTATAGAGCTTATAGATGCCAAATGAAAAGGTTATGATGCATTTCTGAGCATAAATTCTCCGATGTAAAGTTCGCAGTCTGGTACAATTCGATAACTGCCTCGACCAATGAAGTTAGTCGCTTTTAGGGCCAAAAAGTCTGGACATTTAAATCAGCTGTAATGTAATGTGATCATCCAAAAACCGGACTCCAAATATTGTTACGAAAGCATACAAACGTTTTGTCAAATAAATTATTTTTAATGTTTACTGGGTCCTTTACTCAATGTTTTGTTAACCAAAAACCAATACCGCCGGTATTTCAACTCAGATTTATGCTTGTTCAGTGTTCACATGGACTACTGCATAGAGTAGCCATGTATTAATATGCATGTCACCATGAATTGCATTCAGCTTTTTAAATCTTCATTTTTCCCCTCGGAACGGAGTTGGAAGGGGGAGGGGTTAGTTTGTGTGCGTAACGGAAATGACGTAATTTGCAATGGGATCGAAGTTTATTACTGTTTTGATCTTTTGCGAGGGGAATCTCCACTTTGCAGTGCCCATGTTTATTTTTAGACCATCTGATCATTGGCAGAGTATCTTGCACAATACATGTATATAATTTTTTTTTGATATCCTTAACTCTACCCTCCCCTAGGATTTGAAACCCTTTAAAAACAACGAAGATTTAAACATTCCATTTTCCTGTGCTTTGTTATACATTTTAAAGTTAAATTTTGTTTTTACACAGAGTACCTACAAAGATAAGGGAAACCAACTCATTCCGTCCGACAAAGCCAAGAGAGCTACGGTTCTTCAGCGCATGCACGAGGTATTTACCAGTCTCCGTTTATACAGTGATACCTGTCTAATCCGACATGCACTGGGAGGCAAATTCTGTGTCGGAATAGACAGGGTGCACACTAAAAGCTTAGTCAGTGACCCCCTGAAACATAGTAAAATGGGAATGAAATTTAACGTCGGAATTCACAGTGTTGAAGGATTACACAGGTACCGGATTAGAGAGTTTTCACTGTATCTTTTCATCGATGAAATGATTTCCAAACCCTGCATAAAATTACAGGGATTTTTCTAATGTCGAACTCAGTATTTGCAGCATTACAATCTCTTAATTGTTTAAAGTTTAACACCGAGAACGACCAAAGATAAAAATATACTCAGTATAATTATGAAAAAAAATGTTAACACGTGTATTTATATACTTGTATTTTTTTCAATTTCCTTTTATTTTTTTTAAAGGCATCTAACAACTTTCAGCAGAAATTGATGGTGGATCTACTGTTTTATTTCTTTCAAACCAAAGAAGAAGATCGAAAGCCGGTATTTTAACTTTAAAGTATAGACTTAGTTTTCAAGAGTTGAGGTATATTGAGCCATTATTTTAAAAGTACTTAAGGTAGATTGCCCTAATTTTTTTTAGAGTGCTAGCCCTATAATATAGTGAAATCACTCTTTCCTGTATAAAATTACAGTATTAAAAAATGATAATAAACATATCATGCAAGTCCATAGTTACGAGGATTAGTTTTTAAAGATATATTTTAAGAGATATTGAGTCGTTTTCACAAGATAATATCTCGTTTTCACGAAATAATTTTTTCCTGGTATCTTCAAAAAATTCGTGTCCTAAATATACCACCGTATTTATAGCATTTTATACGATTAGCTTTTTCGATCATTTGTCATGTTCTAAATTTTGAATTTACTGGGTGGGAGAAAATACAAAATTTAGAACATGACACGTTGTCATATTTTAAATTTTGAATTCAAAATTTAGAACATGACACGTTGTCATGTTTTAAATTCTGTATTTACAATATACTTCCACTCGGTAAATTCAAAATTTAGAACATGACACATTCATTTTTGTTTCTATAAATTTCCTTGCTTTATTTATTAATTACAGGAAGACTTGAAAAAGAAGGGAGAGGCTCTAAAGGAAGAACTTCAGCGATGGGAAGGCTATATAGAAAAGGTAAAACATCTAAGTAAAAACCACTAGATCACTACTGTACAAATAGTTTCAAATTGTTTAAGGCCCATGCTTCCTATATACAGTGGATGTAAATAATATAATATGAAATGACTTTGGTCATTCATACAACGGATTTCTTATGCTCTCTCTCTCTCTCAAATATACGTTTTTAACCATGCAATCTCTCTTTTCTATCAGACCAAAGGTTTCGTGGCTGATTCCAATTTTACCATGGCTGATGTCTACTTTTACCCATTCCTCGCCTTCGGCAAGCGTTGGGGACTGGAGTTGGAAAAGTTTCCTAATTTGAAGGCCTATTATGACAAAATGTCAGCTCGTCCTAGTGTCAAGTCCACTGAACCACCTCACTGGAAAGAAGAACCGCCAAAGGCCACCCCTCTTAAAGGCATTTTCTGAACTCGATCGTAGTTTACCTCCACACAAAGTAAAGACTGTATTTCACTAAATATTTCTTGGGGGATGCCATTCATGGATGTGATTTGGATATAACCCGTATTTTAAAAACGCTTCATCACTTTTTATAAGATATGAGAATATAGCATTCAAATAAAATGTGACAACCAATGAACAAAAAGTTTTGTGTAATTCTTTTGGCTCTATTTTATTTGAAAAGTTATGTCGAAGAAATAGATTTCCCAGAACCAACGTGTGATTGAATTAAGTAAAGAATATTTATCAGTCAACACAACATATACATGATATTAATTAAACGAGTCCAACTTTGAAACCATATGCAAATATATAATTATTTGATTTATTTCATTTCAAGAGTCCAAAAATCAAACAATATAGTTTTAACAACCCTCTGACACTTGCCAAACACGGGCAACAGAATAATTCTTGTATTTTGACATGTAAAGCAAGAATTAATCGGTACAGGGAAGGGTATCTAAACTGTTTTAAAGATATTTGACCTATCATTAAAGAAAGGAAGAGGTGGGAGAAACCTCTCGGCTCTTGTCTCATTATACACCACGACTCTTGACATTTGCAGCAGGAATATATTTTATAGTATTCTGTTCAGCAAGTGTTCTACTCATGTTTTTTTTTTTGAAGATCTTTTTAATACGGTTGAGATTCCAACATTCTAAACCAACAAGATCCTGTATGTGGTTTGAGGATTGACTCCTTACTTCGCGACTCTAGAGCAGACGCTCTAACCACTACGCCACGCGGGCGACTCTATGTGGTTAGAGCATTGATTTGAAATCGTCACCGATCCAAACAAAATCTTCAACCGACTTAAAGGCGGACCAACCTGCCAGTACATACTTAAGGAATAACTGTATAATTTTTTGGTTTCATGAAGTTATCAATCGAGTGCCTTGCGTGATAATTTGCATGTTTATGCATAAAATTATCAAGCTAGCCAATCGATTGATCATCGTCACGAAACCAAAAAATCTGACAGTTATTCCTTATATTTACATGCTCAAATGATTCCGCAAATTCACAAGCTCTAAACCTCGCTTCTATTTTTTTGATTTTTTTTAACCGCACCTATCGATGAACCAGTAGATTTATGTAAAATTAAAGTACGAATTTTTACTATTTGTAATTTTATCTCGGACGAAGACATTGGAAATGTAAATATTTTACCTTCAAAAACTTTTATTAACATTAAAGTTCAAAATCTTCTGGGTTTGAATTTTGAGAAAGTTGTAACAAGTGAAAGACGAAACACCTTTTTGACCAAACTTTTTTGTAATATATAAGTCCAAATACATACTTAACATACTTTGACCATGCAGGTGTACGTTAAAAACGACGCTGCAAATTTGTAACTGTTTCTCGATAACTTATGAGGTAGATAAAGTCTTATATCCTTCAAATTACTTTTTAATTTTTTATTAGTGAGAATAACGTGACTATTTCATCCTCGCATTTTAAAGTATGAAATTTATTATATACATGTATTATAGAGAGCATTGACCGAAATGCGAGAAAATTTTGTTTCGCTTATAAATACCAAATAAAATTTAAAATGCGAAAATAGAGTGTCGCGAAAATAAAGTAATTTACCTTACTTGACCTTCCTGTTCGCTCCTTAAGGAGCATAGGGCTGCAACCACACCGCGCCCTCGGACTGTTTTGGCTATGCTTTTTAACTGGGTGCAGGTAAAACCTGCCTCTTTAGCCTCCATTTCCACGGACCTTCTCCAGGTTTGTTTAGGTCTCCCAACCCTCCTCTTTCCTTGTAGATTCCAATCCAGAGCCTGTTTTGCAATGTTGTTTGGAGATTTGCGTAAAGTGTGGTCTATCCATCCCCACTTTGTCTTCTTTATGTCAATATAAATGGGATTTTGCTTGGTTCTCTCCCCTAGACTGTTGTTTGAATGATGTCAGGCCATCAGATGTTAAGGATATGGCGAAGAAATTTATTTGATGAAATACTGTAGTTTGTTGTTTATTGATTTAGTTACTTTCCAGGTCTCAAAACCATATAAGAGAAAAACTTTATCCTGATTTTGCTGTTGATGGAGATCTTTAGAATTCCAGAGATTTGTCTGAGGGTATTGAAAGTATGTCTTGCCTTAAAAATTCGGCTTTTGACGTCGTCACCTGCGCCACCTTCCTTGTTGGCGATACTCCCAAGATAAGTGAGTCTGTCAGTTTCTTTAATGTTCTTCCCATTTAACTGCATAACTGCATTGATTGATACCTCCTGTATGTCATCGATTCTCATCACCTCCGTTTTCTAAATATTTATTTTAAGGTCAGCTTTTTGAGCTTCTGATGCCTATCGTGATAATTTCTCATGAGCATGTTGTTGCTTGTGTAGGTCAATTTGAATGCTTCATCTGCAAAAATCCGGGCTCTCGATATGCTCAAGATGTTTGGAGAAGGTCCACTGGATTCCGATCTTACTGCCCGTTGTAGTTTCCTGCATGATCCATTCAATGACTATCAGGAATATGGTTGGTGAGAGGATGCATCCTGCCTTACTCCTGTTTCCACATCCATAGGATCTGTAAGCTTCCCATTGTGAATGATGTGGAATCGTTATACAGATTCCTGATGACACATATGAACTTTGGTGGAATTCAATAATACCGCATTAATGTGCAGATGGTTGACCTATCCATGCTGTCGAAGGCCTTCTCAAAGTCTGTGAAGATTGAGTTAAGAGGAGACTGTTGTTCAGTCGACTGTTCATTATAAATATGGTGTGTAGCAATGTGGTCTGTATGTGGTCTGTCTTTGCAGAACCCTGCTTGCTCTGCTCCTTTCATTCTTTCCAAGATCACCCTTGTTAGTATCTTACTGGTAATAGAGAAAAGGATGCTGCCTCGCCAATTTCCACGTTGCGACAGGTCCTTTTCTAGGATGCTTAACCAGATATCTTGTTTTCCAAGCCTCTGGTTTTTCCTTTTCCTATACTTTTTGCACAAGTGGTTGTTACATCTCTGCTGACTTTGTTGGAATAACTTTGAATGCCTCGGGTGGGATACCATCTGGACCAGCTGCCTTTCTTTTTTTTGGTGTCTTTAAAGCCTTGGTGATTTCTATTCTAGATGGTGGTCCTGCATTGATGTGAAGTTCTTTAATTGGTGGTATACTTGCAAGACTTTATTTAGAACTTCCTTTCAGTGCTCTACCCACCTAACTCTTTGTCCTACATCGCTAGTTTTAATTTGTCTTGTTTGTCCCTCACTGAGGTGTTGGTGTTCAAAATTCTTCCCGACAGTGTTCTAGGTAGCTTTTTCATCTTGTTCTGTCTGGTTACTCTCTCTCTCTTCCTCTTCAGTCATGTGTCATGGACGAACAGTTTCCTGTCCTTCCGATCACGATTATTGACTTGTTTGTTGGCTTCTCTATATAGCGGCATATTCTGTTCTCAGTTTCTCTATTTGCTTCGGTATCCTAACACTGATTGTCTTTTCCTTCAGATTTTTCCTTTCTTTCTCTTTCCCCATGCATGATCCTGCTGTCATCCACTCTTTGTACTCCCCCGATTTCTTGCCTAAGACTTAACTGCATGTACAGTCTGTTCTTTTCTGCACTGCAATTGATCAACAGCACATTTGTATCACCTTTTAGAAAATTTCTTTACTTTCAAAGAAGATGGGGGGATAAGGTGGGCAGAATGCCTATAGCGTCAGATATTAAGAAATCACATTTGATATGTAAATTGAGTATTTAAATTTTTTTCTCATTATTGAAATTTATGAAATTATGAGAAAAAAAAATTTTCTAAGAGAAAATAAATCTTTAAAAAAAATTCATTTATAAAATCATTAGATGGTATACGTGGGATTCGAACCCCCAGCAATAAAATACCGAAGTGTTATACAGCTTTGAGACGAATGGGCTAACCTACAGGGCTCATGATGATTAGAGGCATTTAAATCATGTTTGTGATATGACCATTGACTAAATGGACTTGAAGTATTTCTCGGAAAGATGCGAATGTTTTGTCATAAAAGTGTACTTTCAAGGTATAGTGGATCTTCGCTCCATTTTTTGTAACCAAAAAAATATTTATTTTATCGCAAACTTTTAGGATTATCTTTCAAAAAACGGAGCGAAGACCCACTCATATTGAAAAATTTTGTTAAAAAATGATCGTTTTTGTTCTTTTAAGTCTGTGTATGCTTTTTCAAAGGCAAATATTTTCAGTTTTTGTGAGATTTTTGTGATTTATAGAGATTTTACAATAAGTATACTTTAATATTAGACGAAATATGAAATAAAATTTGGATATAATTGAGATTAAATTTTTCATTTCGTACATGTCGCGCTATAGGCATTCTGCCCGCCTTATCCCCCCATCTTCGTTGTAAAAGAATTAAATGCTGACTGAAGTTTTCATATAAATTGCTAGTCCATTATTTATACACTGAATTGACCACAGATTTTTCTGTAATTTCCCGATCATGACAAGGAGCACACGGCGGATGTAACCGGTCGGCAGAGAATGCTCACTCCTTCATGGCACCCGATCCCACCTCTTATGTTTTGGAAGTATGTGTTTGCTCTGCTCCTATTTTGTCTTGTTTTATGGACTTTTGATCTTGAATATATTCTGTTCGTTATTTCCATATGTTTCGTGCAAGATAATTATGTTATCATGTGACTTAATATATATGTAAACATGCAATATTACTATGCTAGCTTGCAACTTATTTATGTCAACATATGCGATTATTTACATTGTATGTCAACATGCAAGATATTTATGACAACATGCAAGATATTTATGTCAACATACATATCTGGCATAAATTTTGCATAATCACATCATATGATTTATCCCATAATTAACTCGCATGTTAACATAATTATTTTGCATGTTGACATAAAGATAGGAAGCATTTTGTTCACATAATTATCTTGCATTTTACATAAATATATCATGAACTGCATTCTGACATAAAGAAATCGCATATAGCATATATTGAATGTATAATGCCAGATACTGGCGTACGTAAGTAAGTAAATTTATCCATATTGAAATTTTTTTTCTAATAAGATTGGTCATAAACTTGCATGTCAACATTATTATTTTGTATGTTAATATAAATATTTACTACGTTGCATGTAAAGAGCAGAAATATGCCATCATACATTTGT